TCATACTTCTGACGTGTTGTCAGGAGGAACCAGTCACTGGAGAAGGATATCATGTTTGGTAAGGTGGAGGGTCAGAGAAAAAGAGGAAAACCCTAGCGAGATGGATTGGCAAAATGGCAGCATCAATGGGCTTAAGTGTGGCAACAACTGTGAGGTTTCCCAGGACCGAGCAGTGCTTCGTTCTTTTGTGCATAGGGTCGCTATGAGTCGGTACGGACTCGATGGCACCTAACAACAAACAACAACTTATATACCATGTATGGCAAATATCTATTACATTCTTCAGTGGGTTTCTCCAAAGCAAAGAGTATGATCTATTTATGCATGTTCATAGCACTGTTGTCTAGCACAGTAATGACACAAACACAAACATTTGTTAAATAAAAGAATGCATGCAAGATTAGCCTACTATGAGATCTGAATGGATGGAAGAACTAAATGATTGTTCTATGGTCATGAGTCAGCTATTTCCAAATGCTCTGTGGTGTATAGATCATCTAGCCTTAAAAAAATCTGTAAGCCAGTCTAGCACCATCTTGGAAGAACCCAGTTGATTACCTTCACATGTGTGGTTTGGCTTCAGGGATGATGAGCTTGGGGACTCCTGGTGACAGACACATTGGTATGAGCCCTCCATGTTTAAACAGCATTCCCTTCCAGAACAAGTATTAAGTTCATCAAAGAGGCATTCATTTACATCTGTGGAAGAGGAGAAATGTTCAGAAGACTTGTTAGAGCATTCCCATAAACCTCCAAACAGGTATCCTCTGTGGATTTACATGACATGAGAAGGTGCACTGGGCAATGGCCTTGAGGGTGAATAGTTGAGCCATGTCTTTGAGAACCTTGTAGAGCCAACTGATCTACTTGTCCAAGCATGGCACACCCACAACAAAGCCAACAAACAGATACCCTTAAGTAGCTGCTGCTGCCTGAGCAAATTATTTGGGATCTATTGCGTCTGAGTGGTTACGCCATGAAGGAACCAAACTCTTGTATCACATATAAATCTTGTGACTGAGCAGCTATCTGAGCTAAGAAAGAGAGCAGCCTTGCAATGTGGAAGCTGGCCCAGCATTCACAGCCTGACCATAGTATTTTTCTATTAAACACAAGCCACACCATAGAGCACCAGTCTCAGAAAAGGACAATCTGAAACCATAAGAGAATGAGCTCCAGTCAGGCCACTTTGTAATTTTATCTACACACAAAAACACCCCACGTGCTGGACCAAAATGAACGATTCTACTTCTTTATTCAATTACATTACCCTCATGCCAGCCATCCCTCCCTACAGATTTGTTGTCATTGCTAAGTGCCTTGGAGTCAGTTCCAACTCATAGCGACCCTGTATAGGGTTTCCAAGGAGCAGCTGGTAAATTTGAACTGCCGATCTTGCGGTTCACACCAACCTTTCGTCTAATGCAATTATCCCCCAGCACCACACCAGGACTCCTCCCACAGATTAAGGTGATTGAAATACCTAATTGTTTTTATTGTTGTTGTTAGGTGCCATTGAGACGGTACTGACTCATAGCAATCCTATGCACAACAGAACGAAACACTGCCCAATCCAGGGCCAACCTCATAATTGTTGCCACGCTTGAGTACATTGATGCTGCCACTTTGCCAATCCCTCTCGCTGGAGGTCGTCCTCTTTTCTCTGACCCTCCCTCCACCTTACCAAATATGGTATCTTTCTCCAGTGACTGGTCCCTCCTGACAATATGTACGAAGTATGAGAGACAAAGTTAGGCCATTTAATTCCACTTTCTGACATCATTCCATTGGGAGTGAACCTAACTTTCTGAGACTACCACAAATCAATCAACCAAATCTTACAGTAGGCTTTTTCTAACACTTTCTTCCTGAGATACCCTATAGTTCCTATGGTGCGTGTTCCTCCTCCTCTCCAACAACTTGGCCAAGTATAGCTGTACTTCTCAGAAATCCTATACAGGGTCGCTGTGAGTCGGAACTGACTCGACAGCATTTAACAATGACAATAGTGTCCATAGGGAGCCCTGGTAGTATAGTGGATTACGAGCTGGGCTGCTAGCCACAAGGTCAGTAGTTTGAAACTACCAAATGAGGCTTTCTGCTCCCATAAAGATTTATAGCCTCCAAAACCCTGTACGGGTCACTGTGAGTAGGAACCGGCTCGGTGGTACACAACCACCACCACCACCATAGTGTGCATGGAGTCCTGGTGTGGCACTGTAGGTTAAACACTGGACTGATAACAGCAAGGTTATCCTATTCAGGGTCGCTTTGAGCCAGAACCAATTCGATGGCACTTGACAACAACAGTGTCTACTGGCCTTAAAGCTTGGGCCTCATTCTATGTGATCTTTGTTGTTGCTGTATGCCATCGAGTCAGTTCTGACTCATAGTGACTCTGTATAGGGTTTCCGAGGAGCAGCTGGTGGGTTTGAACTGCTGACCTTGTGGTTCACAGTCCAGAGCTGATCCTACAGCACCATACCAGGAGTTCATGTGATCTTTAAAAAAGCATCATCAGCCACTTTTCCACATAAAGTAGGCATTAGCAAACTGTAGCCCACCAAATGTCTTTGCAAATAAAGTTTTATTGGAATCCAGCTACAACCATTTGCTTCTGTATTGTCTATGACTGCTTTCAAAATACAATATTGAGTAAGTGAGACTGTGTCGCTACAAAGTAAACTATATTTACAATCTGGTCCTTTTCAGAAACAGTTTGTCAACCAACAGAGTGAAAAAAGAAAGAGGAGGAGGGGGAAGAGAAAGACAAGGAGAAAACCAGAAAGCAGTGGGAGCAAAGAAGAGGAGGAAAAGGAAGGCAGAGGTCATTTCTTCTAGGCCAGTCCATGTGCTTTACAGAGTACAAGTTCAGCTTTGTGCACATTCGTCTGAAAGAGTCTACTCTGCACAAGGGTGTCATGGTGAGTGTGGGTAAGAGCGTGCAATATTGAAATCCAAAGAACTCAAGAAACAAGTTCTTGTTTTGTGCTGGGATTTGAGTAGAAGAATAAACCTGTCCAGAGAGGAGCGAGACAGGTATGAGAGAATGTGGAGGAGAAACAGAGGAAGAAAGAGAAAAGATGACAAAGACTTTGTTGACAAAGTCTCAAATCTTTACTTTGGAACTTGGGAATTCAAATTTGACTTGGATCAGAATGAGGTAGAGATGTATCCAACCATACCAAACCTACTGTATTTGTACACTCAGACCAACTATTCTCCCATTCAAGGGTATAAACCTCCCTAAAGTGTAGCGTAGTGGTTATGAATC